TAGAAAGCATACAAATTCAAAGCTATCGGGACTAATTTTTGATGCTCTGAATTCCTCGAACAATAAAAATTTGATTTACGTTAATATTAAACAAAACATGAATGCAAATGGTACACAAAGTGATAAAGTTAACTCTCCCCCGTCAATTAACCTATCAAGTGTTTCATCTATTGAGGGTCTCAACACTTCTTTCTCTGAAACAGAATTGCCATCCGTCCTTAGTTTTACTTCTCCAAATCCCACTAGCATAAATTTTCAACAGGAACTAGAAAACTTAGCCAGTACTTAAATGATAAAATAACAATTTTTTATCAGAATTGTAGAGGGGTTAAAACCAAGTTGGAAAAACTCAAGTTAAATATATTAAGTAATGATTATGATATTATAGCAATCTCTGAAACTTGGTTGAATGAGTCAATAAATAATCCCGAATTTAGTTTTCAGAATAGAACCACATTTAGAAAAGATCGTGATAGATTAATAACTAATAAAACCCAAGGAGGAGGGGTATTATTGCTCTTGAGAGACACTTTCATAGTCTCGGAAGTTAGGATTTTTGATGAGGATCAGGAGGCATTGTGTGTAAAGATAAAGATAAATGCTGTGTCTTTTCTTATTGTGGTAGTGGCTTACTTTGTCCCCGAGAGCCCAAGTGATGTTTATGAGAAATTTTTTGAAAAGATGGAGCATCTTCTTGATGGTAATAATTCGGAATTTATCATAGTTGGTGACTTTAACATTCCCAGCTATGTTAACACTTTATCATGTAACAATAATTTAAACCTGTTAAAATCATTTTTGTCCTTTAATAACCTCATACAGTTGAATCATATACGGAATCATAATAACGTTATTCTAGATCTTGTAATTGCCTCTTTTGAGAATGTACAGGTTGACAGAACAGAGGATTCTCTATTGCCAGTTGATAAACATCATCCTTGCCTGAGTATCTGTTTGGAAACTAGGTCCCCTGTCGAACACTGTAAAGTCGTATCAACAACTAAATTTAATTTCAAAAAGGCTGATTTTCATTTAATGTATAGATTATTCGAAAACCAAAACTGGGCTGTTTTGGATAGTATTGCTGATGTCAATTTGGCCATTGATTCTTTCTACAATATTCTTAATAATATATTTCAGCAGAGTGTACCAAAATCTACACAAATAGACAAGAAATATCCTGTTTGGTTTAATGGAGAAATCATTAAACTGATTAAGCAAAAACATAAATATTTTCTAAAATTTAAAAAGAATAAATCTAATTTTTGGCGTCAAAAATATATTACACTTAGAAGTACAGTAAAATACAGGATCAGGCTGGCTTATAGCAATTATCTCCAGGAGGTTCAATCGGGCTTACAGAGTAATCCTAAGTTGTTTTGGTCATACCTAAAAGGACTCAAGGACTCGCCAGATATTCTTCAGGAAATGATAAATAATGATAAAACCTATGTGGGCTCTCAGCGGGTGGCAGATGGCTTTGCTGATTTCTTCAAATCTGTTTATATAAATGACAATGATGTTTCATGTTCCTCTAGTGCCCCAAGATCTTTCTTTTGTGAGAAGTCTATCTCGACAGATGATATAGACATGGCAATCAAAAGGCTCAAGGGAAACAAGGCAATTGGTTCAGATGGAATACCAGCCTATATTCTAAAGGGCTATAGCCAACATCTATTGAAACCCCTGCAAGTTGTATTCAATCTAATTATAAAAACATCAAATTATCCAGAAAAATGGAAAATAGGCAAAGTCATTCCGATTTTTAAATCTGGTGTTAGACAGGATATTAAAAACTACCGCCCCATATCTATTCTGAGTTCAGTTTCCAAGGTATTTGAAATGATTATATTTGAATTGTTATTTAGTGAAATTTCTGGAAAAATTACCTCCTGTCAGCATGGTTTCTTCCCTCATAGGTCAACATTCACCAACTTGGCCACATTTAGTCAATATGTGCATGAAGCCATAAATAATAAATCGCAGGTTGACGTTATTTACACGGACATGGAGAAGGCATTTGACAGGGTCAGACACTGCGTAATAATTAAGTCTCTCCAGAATATGGACGTGCCTTTGTATTTGATTGGGCTAACTCAGTCATATCTTAGTAACAGGTTTCAATATGTTGAAGTTAAGGGTTGCAAATCACGGATCTTTAAAAGCACCTCTGGTGTGCCACAGGGTTCTAATTTGGGCCCTCTCCTCTTCTTGGCAACAATAAATAATATTGTTGGAAACCTGGAAAATGCTGTGGCCCTCATGTTCGCCGATGATTTCAAATGTTTTTTCCAGATTAATTCCGTTGAAGACTGTGTGCAACTGCAGAATGATTTTTGTAGTGTGACTAATTGGTGCGAAAATAATAGCTTTAAAATGAATATTGCAAAATGTACCTGTATGTCCTTTACCCTTAACCACAATGCTATAAATTATTACTATAAATTAAATGGTACTAATCTCAAACGAGTTGGCCAACAGAGAGATCTTGGAGTGGTGTTTGATTCTAACTTGTCGTTCTCTGGTCATATGGCATCTAAAATTGAAAGTGCACAGAGGGTGGCAGGATTTATCTCGAGAAACACAAAAAACTTTAGAATGGAGGTGAGTCTACATCTTTTTGATAGTTTGGTGGTTCCCATTTTGGAATATGCAAGCATAATTTGGTCTCCGCAATACAATGTGTGGGTTACATTAATAGAAAGGGTACAACGAAATTTCCTCAAATGCATGTATTTTCGAAAATTTGGTATTTATCCGCAAAGAGGTTGTGATCAGGGCTACCTACTGAGCATTTTTGATAGGCTTTCCTTGAGCAAAAGAAGGGATAGGGTGATTTTGTGCACAATGTTCAATATTTTGAGGGGAACAATTGATTGTCCAGAAATGCTTGCCCAGTTACCATTTGCAATAAATCGATTCAACTCGCGAAATCAGAATGTTTTTTATTTGGCATATCCTCGTACTAATCTGTACAAAAATTCTCCCATATATAAAATGTGTCAGGTTTTTAATTTGTATGCTTTCGATATTGATATTGACACAATAAATATCAAAGCTTTTAAGAAAATTATTGATGAAAAGCTTCGAATGTGAGTATTGTTTTCGTTTGTTTTTTTTTTGACTTTTTTACTTTATTATATTGTGAATCTTTTGATTAGAATTAGATTTAAAGTTTACTTATAATAGATGTAAGTTTGTATCTGTGATTGGCCTCTTGGCTGTTGATACTTGATGAATAAATAAATAAAATAAAATAAAAATTTATTGTATGTATAGATTCTGTATTTTAATCTTGGATTTTATGTTCTAATTCCAGATTCTATCTGTCGGTTTTGATATTTTTTTCAATTGTCACAGCAATCGTGTAGGATAAGGTGTTTAAAGCAGAAACACATAAACTCATCAAAATAGTCTAGGGAACAAGAAATATCTGTCCTCCAATTTTAAGACCCAACAACTTTTTTTTAAAGATAACGAGGGTATTATTTATTAAGCAAATCTTATCAAATTTACCATATCGGCTCTTTTTTGCAAACTTGTTTAGTTTAAATATTTTATAAATAAAATCAGCAAAAATTTCTGATAGTATAGGTACCTATTTCTTGTTCCCTAGACTATTTTGATGTGTGTAGATGTGTTTAATCGATATTTTCACAGGTCAATACACATGTTCTACTTGTCCGAAGGTGATCATTTCTTGGAAGACTTCTTGCACATTTGTAAATTGATTATCCCTGTTAAAGCCTCCAATCAAAAATATGGCATGTTTTAATTGATTCATAAAAGCAAATTTATCTCTCTTTCTAATTGTTTTATGAACAAAACGGCTAAAAACTCCAAGAAAAGTCTGCGTCTGAATTACGAGCACTAAAACGAGTTATGCCCTCACCCCGATTCCAGAATTAGCCGCTAATTTGGTATGATTTATTGGGATATAATGTGCTCCTAACTAACTTCAAATAAGTACCCGTTTTATCTCTCTCCACGTTGATAATTTCATCCATAAAAAGTTTTTTTTAGAAATGCTCGGCCCCCAAGTAATGCAGTAAGTACTTTCCTCCCAGTTTTTAAATTTTGTAATGATACAAATAAATTATTTGAGACCCTCGTCATAATCAGTTGAACCTAGCTTCATGAATCAACAGATGCTGCTGACAACTTTGGCACTATGGATTCAAAGGCTGAATTGGCTTACTTTTTTAGAACGCAAATAGAGGGAAATCAGGCAAAGGAATATTCAGAACCACTGTTGAATCCTTGCGGGGTTCCCCGAGATACAGTTTTCAGGCCTTTGTTGTTCCAGTTATATTAGTGGACATTGATATTAGTGGCCATTTCAAGTAGTTTGAATATCAATAAATATAACAAGAATCAAGAATTGGTGTGATTCCAAGCAGTTTATCATTTAATATGAGCAAAGATTTGAAATCTTAAGTGTTATATTGATGGTATGTACTTTAAGAACGGTAGGTACAAGGTTGAGTTATTAAGTTTTTGGGCCTCCATGTCAACTCAAAATTTTTACCTTTTACAAGTTTTGCTTTCTTACAATCTATATTGGAATACGGAGTGTCATTTAGGGGTCACAGTTTCTATAAAATCCTTTCTAGTATTGCAAAAATGAGCCTCAATGTAAGCAAGCTTAAGACAGGAGAGCTTTCCATACCATTTTTTCGTCAGGGTACTAGTACTCATGGTTGCCACAATGTTTGTTTTGGAGACCCCCTCCTTGATTACCAAGAAATGTTATGTAACATTCCAAATTATAATAAATTGCGACTGCTCTACCCATGAACTCAATAACTACATTATATGGAAGTATAGTTATCCGCTCCAATGCATATAGAGGTATACAAGATGATAATATTGGGAAGCTGAAATGATTTTAAATCGAGGACATACTATAATTTAAACCAATTTCATTTGGATATATTTTAAGTTGTGTATGATTCGTTTTCGTCTATCACTATTTTTTGATAGTATCTTGAAAGACATACCTTTAGCAGCGCTACTGCTCTTCTTCTTGCGCTGTTTCCGATCTTGCGACGTCGCCGCCGCTGCCGATTTAATATCGTGTTGCTGCAGCTCACTGGCCGCTGCCATCTGCCGACTGTAAAGAGACTGCGCTTGTGCTGCGCTTGCCTGCTGTTGCTGTTGTTGCATCGCATGCGATGAATGCTGTTGCTGCTGTTGTTGCTGGCCGTAAGCAGCCGCCATGTTGCTTTGGCTGAACAGTTGCTTGTTGAACATGTGCGCAGACGTACTTAACCCTATAACACAACACAAAAATAATTATTAAAATTGACCCTTAAAAAGGCTAATAGGTAATGAACTTTTGATTTGAGATATAAAATAAGTTTACTTAAGTGTAAACTTTGTAAATTAGTTGTTGAATAAATATTTATTATTATTATTATTATACCTTTGTCGCTATAGTAAGGATTGGTCGCTGATTGTAGCCCTGCCATCATCCTTTGCTCATTGCTGTAACGGTCGACCATATTTGAGAGATTTCGAGATAAACCCAGCGCCTGTTCCAGATCTAGGGCTGCTGAATTATAACTGCTTCGGCTGTCTTGTTTATACCTGTTTTCAAACACATTATTGCCAATAAATAATTAAACAGCAATAATATGTACTTACCCTGCAGCGGCGGCAACAGCAGCTGCAGTTGCTTCCTGTTGCGCCTGCGCAGCCAATCTTTCAGCTACTGAATCCACGCTGGTGCGATTTGAACTCGTTCCAGATTGGTATGCAGCGCTGTGGGTCTGTTGATTGGTCGCTGGTGTTGCTGCCGTTTTCTGGTAGCCGGGAAGAGAGTTAGTAGTTGATGCCGCAGGTTGACTGGTCATGAGAGAAGATTGAGAATCTAGGAAAAGAGAAACTATAGTATTTTTCAATTGACTATAACAGATACCCCTTAGAATGATGAATGATTTTTTGGCCCAAACCCATGCCAAAAAAACAAAAGATTTTCATTCAATTATATGAAAGTTTGGTCTGTGAATAGCAATAGATTCACGAATTTATTATTAAACTTACTTAAAAGCTGAGAGGCCTGAGAAATGGCCGATTGCACTGTGGTCCTCGCATAACTGCTCAAATCCGAACGGCTGCTATATTGTTGCTGTAACGCTCTAGTGAAATTAACTTCCGGTCCTGAATAGCCTAAATGAGAAAAAAAATCTAAATATGTAACTCAAATAAATAACCCATTCGTCTTTACATTAAAACTCTGACAAGGAACCAAGAGAAAAACTGAGATGGATATAGGGTGGGAAAGTGGCAAGAATAATGGAAAAGTAGCATTTAGAAAAAAATATGGTGTAAGCACAAATAATAGCAGAAAATCAAGAAGTTTCAGTACGCAGAAAGGACCGAAAAAGGGAGGTTTAGGTTCAGAATTACTACTTGTGTTCATACACAAGATACTAAGAGAATGTATAACAAAACAAAAAAATCCTTGACTCAAGATCTTTCAATAAGCAATTATTGGAATACCAAGAAAACAGGTAAAAACCTGGTAGTTTTCAGCAACCAAGTGATGCAGATATATCTGGAATTCATTCGAACAAAATAAAAGAAATGATTACTGGCGTAAATAATGCCAGAAGACTAATGAAAACACATGTACTAATTACATAATTCCTAGAAAATTCCTTCAAGAACCATCTGAACACAAACCTGGAAAGTATAAAATACGAACTTGTGCAACTACAGGCCATGATAACTTTGCCAAAGGCCCATTTCCAAGTGTTATGTGCCTTGAATATGATAATTAGGTGCACAGCAATATCTTAATATTCTACTCTACCTTATAATACCTAATTAGGTATTTCAACATTCAAAAATTATGTATTTTGTCCATTCTTGTTTTAACTCAAATAAAATTGAAAAACTAGCGTTTCGAACAAAATAACCTTTGAAAAATAATAATGGAGAATTTAACTTGATACCCTGATGTCCATTGAAAGAGTGTTCCACTGTATGTAAATAAGAAAAGTACAAAAACTTACCCATGTTGGTAAACTTGGACATATCCAATTTCGGTTGATGCGCAGACGGTACATTAAGGGGAGGATAACCTTCTCTACCATTACCGAAATTCGCGGCATATTGGGCAGACGTTGCCGCTTGATATGATGCCATGTTGGTACTCCTCAGGTTGGAAGATTCAGCTTGCTGCTGAGTGCGTTGTTGTTGCTGCTGTTGCTGAACTGGGGGAGACGGAGTCCTAAGAGACTGATCGGCCGCTTTGCTAAACGCAGCCGCCATAGCTTGTTGTTGCAACAATTGCAAATTCTTTTGCTGTTGCTGTTGTTGTTGTAATAATTGCTGTTGCTGCTTTTGTTGCTCTTGTATCTTCTTTTGCTCTTGCAACAGTTGTTGCTTTTGTTGTTCTTGTAATAATTGTTGGGCCTTTTGTTGTTGTTGTAGTATTTGTTGCTGGTGATGCTTTTGCATCAATTGATCCTGTTGTTGTTTCTGCAATAATTGTTCCCGATTGGTATCTTGTTGGTGGTTGAGTGGCTGCATAGTCCTATTGACTATTATTTCTTCAAATTGAGAAGTGAGATCAGTATCCATGAAAGCCCGCTTTTTAACTGGAAATACCGGTTGTTGTTCTTTGATTTCCATTGGTAAGACACTCTCTGGCACTCTACTGCCGTTGGAATGCTGTGACGTTTCATCTTGCTGTGGAGGCAATTGTTGCGGATGAAACGTTTCAGCAGGAGTCATCGGTGAATTAACAGCAGTCATGCTTGGAGAATGCTGAGTCACCCCCGAAGAGGGAGAATTCACTTGAGGGTGAGGCGACACCACACTCATTCCAGGAGAATGGAGCGATTGTTGCGGTGAATGCGAGTGTTGCGACGAGTGCTGAGACGAGTGTACTGAATGTAGACTGGGCGAGTGCATAGAGGGTGAATGTACACTTGGGGAAGATTGGGAATGGTGCACGATGACGGGCGAGTGGGGAGACAGTTGCGGCTGAGGAATGGGAGAAGCTTGACTGCTAATGCTTGCTGATGGAGAATTAGCCGTATAATTTTGAGAGGGTTTTGCCTAAATAATAAAATAATGGTAATTTTTATGATTATTTTTGGTTTTTTATAGTTTACCTGGTACTGCTCAGCAATCTTGCTCGTATCATAGTAAGCGCTGCTGCTTCCATCCAAATTGTAAGGCGGGGTTGGATTTGTGCTGCTATAACTTGGCATTGTGTGGGTGTAGTATGGACTGTTCGCTGTATAGGAGGCACTGAAAAATAATATAGTTCTTAGTTGAGATCAGAATCGTTCGAACATTTGTTAAGGGCGTTAAGGCACTCATCTCTAATAATGAGGAGCTCCTGGGGAAGCTACAATGTCCGATCATCAAATGTTCAATTATCAGGCTATTATACGGTCATGGGATTGAATTGCCACTGAGCAAGTTTATAGAGATACTTTTATTATATATTTCCAAAGTAGGATATTGATTTGAGAGAAGCATGTATTTTAGGAGCTCTTAAACAATTCAAACAAAATTTCTCAGTATTATACTCAAAACTAACGCTTGAAGAAATCTAACTAAAAAAGTCTGACTACTCAGATTTATCAAAGTAAAGTTACTACCAAAAATTAATATGTAAAAAAAGTCTTACCTGTATCCACCAGGTGTGGTATTAGGAGCGTAGACATGATGTTCGGGTGCGGTGATCGGCTGATTATAGTTGTTGTTGTAAGGACTGTTCGGGGGATGGGTCTCACGTGGACTACACGATTTATCAGGTGAAGATTTATTACTTGAAGCAACTGTGTCTTGATAGAAACCCACACGAATGGGTCCTCCGTTAAAGGGAGGGTAGGCTTGGGAACGCGGTGAAATATCTGGACGAGGTGAAGCAGTGACGGGAGAAGCGCCGCTACTAGGTGACCTAAAATTTAAAATACATAATTAATAAACATATTAGGAAATATCCTTACTTCAAGTTATTACAATAGGTATGAGAAATAAATAGCGTAAAAATAAAAGATAATAGGTACAATATGCGAGGGGTCCTTTGTGGGAAAACAAACCAAAATCCCAAAATTTTCAGGAAATACAGTTCAGCTGGGCCGAAACCGGCATAATATAGGATAGGAAAGTATCACTTTCCCCTCTTACTAGAAGAAAAATCATTTTTTCATCAATTTACCACGAATATTTACTTCCATAGTGTTTATCGTGCAAAAAAGTCGCATGGAAATATTATTTGGAAACACTAACTTACCTATGCAAAGGTGATGGATAGGGAGCCGGATACGCGCCCCTCTCTTCCATCCCTACCCTTGGCGAGTCCAAATCTTGGCTAAATGACGATCTACAAAAAAAAAACAATGCAATTTTAAAAATTACAAAAATATAAGTTATTTCAATACCTTTCTGACATGCTACTGCCAGTACTGATCCTACGCTGTCTGGCTATTGGTTGAGGATTTTCCAAGACCGGAGAAGGATCCCCAGGAGGCACTCTTTCAGATTTAGCTCCAGTAGCTTCTTCTTCTTTAGCGTCAGTCTTGTCGGGTTTTTTTTGCGGGGCAGGCGCTTTGGGGGCGCCGAAGGCTTTGAACCAGGCACTTAAATTGGGAGTGGGGCCACCAGCGGAGTTATTCAACTCATCCTCAGTTATTTTTGTCTCCTTTGTTTCCTAAAATAGTTTAGATTTTGATGTTATTTGCTTTCATATATTCAGAAGAGGAGTATTAATTACCTGTTCAATCTTAGCTTCTCCCTTTTCCACTTTCTCTTTATCCTCGATTTTTTCTTCCTTCTGAACTTCCTCACTCTTATCCTTTTCTTCTTCCTTTTTCAAATCCTCTGTCGGAGTGGATTCTTTTGCGTCTACGATTTCTTCTTTTTTCTGATCGTCAACGGCAAACTTGTGCTTGCCGAAACTGTCTAGTACCGACCCTAGGCTTAATTTGGGAGCGTTTGTATCTGTTTTTACTATGAGCGAGTTTTTGGTGTCTTTCAATTTCAATAATGGATTGAGGGGGAAGGTTTCGTCAGTTTTGGTCGCGCTTTGCACGTTGGTAATCAAATTGCCTTTTCCTTTGCCTAGAAAAACAAAAAAGTTTCATTTGATTTTAAGTAAAGTTATTCACTCAAAAAAGTTTATTTGAAGGCGATTCTTGCTCTAGAAGTTGGCCCATGTTGGGTGCGAATTGTGGATCGATGCAATGAAATTTCAAATATTTCGTGACTGCAAGTATTTCTGGTTTGAACATGTAGACTGTAAACCAAAACTATTCAATAGTTAAAGGACAATCAACAAGTTAATTAATGAGTATGAAATGTATGTGTATTTGGTTCTATAGTAGTGCCTACTCCACATCATATAATATTTTTTTCCATAATGTTGAATTTTTAAATCAACCCCAATTGGCAACCAAAATTGAACATTTTTGAATCCAAAAATGCCCTTAAATTTGAACTACTGACCCCCTAAATAGCATTTATATTAAGAAAAATGTGGAATTCTCACTGTTTGTTTGGAGTTTTCATAATATTTCCAAAAAAAAAAAAAACACATTTTCCACCCAGAGACAACCAGTCAAGACTTATTGTAACCTCAAACACCCAAATTGATTTTACCAATCCCATAAAAAATGGATGAAAAACAAACCTGGTTGTAGACGATCTATGGTCCTCTGCACCTCTCTACGTTTACTGAAAAACTTCGATGGGTCTCGAAAAGACGAAGACTTTTTCTTGTTGCCATCTTTAGTAGTTGTGGAACCTGATGTAGGCAACGTTGCATTGTTTCCGTCTTTTTTGGCTGCTTGTACTGGAGAAGGCACACCGGTGGGTTTGTCACTCATTTTTTTCGGGTCAGTTGAAGAAGGTGTAGGCAACGACGGACGCGGCGTGGGCAGTTGCAAATCGAAATCGTCAAGGGCCAAATAATTAGAGGGCGAGTTACTAGCCGAGCTAAAGTCAGCGAACTTTGGTGTGTCATCCAGCCATTTGTTGATATCTTTTAAGGTTTGTTCTGTGGCCAAACTGAGAGCCTCGAAGTTCGATTGTTTTTGGGCTGGTTTGGGTGTAGTTGCTGACAACGCACTACACTCTGAATCCCTAAATTCCTTCTTTTTAGACATATGCTTTCTTGTGTCTTCACTGACCACATCCTGTTGGTGATTTTTCTTTGTTTTATGCACTTGATGTAACAATTTATTATCTTTCTGTGCGTGTTTATGCGGCTCATTATTGATAACCTTCTTATTTTTATCTTTATTCTCTTTTAAATGATCATCAGGGCCTTCGAACTCGTAAAGCGGCTTTTGCATTCGGCTAATTTCGCTACTTTTTGCTTTAAGTTTTTCAATAGTCTCCCTTAATTTGTTGTGTTTATCTTTGGCCGGTTTGAAACCCATTGGAGAGTAAGGCGGCAGATCCTCCATTGTTCGTTTTTCAGTTGCTGGAGGCGAGCAAGGGGGCGGCTCGTCTAAGGGCGTATCCCAAGGAAATATTGAGTTTTTATTATTAGGTTCTATTGGTTTTGATTGGTCCCTTGTATTTAAATTTTTTTCTTCGCGTTCGTCAACGTCAGAAGGAGGAGGCGTGCTTAAAATGCTTCTAGGTGGGCTCAGACTTGGGCATCTGCTACTATCAAGGCTTTCACTCCTTACTGGACTGAGTTTTTTCTTTTTACGGCCTCTTTTCTTTGGCTTTCTCTTTTCTTCTTTTAAATTTTCAGCCTTTTTCGCCTTTGACGTTGACAATTGTTTTTTAGTAGATTCCTTTTCTTCTTCTATTTTTTTGTTGGTCCGCACTTCTTTTTCTTTTTCTAGCTTTTTAGGTACTTTCTCTGGCTTTTTAGATTCTTTTTCAGGCTTTTTAGATTCTTTTTCAGGCTTTTTAGATTCTTTTTCAGACTTCTTAGATTCTTTTTCAGGTTTTCTTGATTCTTTTTCAGGCTTTCTAGATTCCTTTTCAGGCTTCTTATTAGATTCTTTTTCAGGCTTCTTAGATTCTTTTTCAGGCTTTTTAGATTCTTTTTCAGGCTTTTTCTTTTTAATTTCTTTCAAATTTTTTTTCTCAGTCTTTTTATCTGATGACTGTTTTACTTCTTTTTTTGATTTCTTCGATATTGGTTCGTCATCCTCTTCCTCTTCACTACTCGCTTCTTCACTGAGCCTTTCTCTTTTTCTGCCTTGAGCTGCCAAAGCAGGTTTCCTTGTCTTTGGCGCTACCACAGGACTTTCTGAACGTTTGCTTCTCTTTTTAAGGCTCTTTATGACTTCGTCTTCAGAATTGAGGTTTTCTACTGCGATTTCCTCATCTGAAGAAGAAATCTGATCAAGGTATTTTTGAGTGGCCCTCTCAAAAACTTGCACCAAATTGTCCACCATCTCAGTATATTCTATGTAGAAACAAAAAAATAAGTAAATAATATTGAATGTTTATAAAAATTATAATTCAAAGTATGTATTGACTTTAGATCATACCATTTTCTGTCCCATTATACAATCGACAATTATTAACAATCAGTTGAAAATCGCCTTTAAATTTCTCATAAGTTTTGTAGTAGCCTTGATCCAGTCGATCCTCCATCTTGGTCAGATCCATAGGCCTACGAATTATAGTATAATAATTGGGAGCATATTCTTCCTCCACTGGATCGAGAAACGGCCAGGAATCTTCGTGATTTTTAACAAAATCCAGGATTTTGTGCATGCCCACTAGCAGATCTTCGTCTGTTTGTTGGAATCTGAAAACAAAAGCAAATAGTAGTATAATTGACTCTAGGAAACAATATGAAAATGAAGCTTACACTTGGGAAGTCTTTAATTTCTTTTTTTTAGATGCTACAGGTGGCGCTGGCTGTTGGATGACAATCTGACCATCCAGAGCGGACAAAGAGTTATTGGTTTGCCTTCCCACAGGTTTAGCTGGTGCCGTTACGGTAGGTTCATCATTTTTCGTCTTTTTACGTTTTGGTGCAGAAATTATTTCTAAAACAGTACACACGTTTAGATATTTTCTGGTATTGAATAATTGGAAATTTAACGAACCTTTGTTGCTTTCCTCTGATTCACTAGACACTTTCCTCTGACGTCCTTTGTTTCGTTTTTTCGATGCCATCTCATGCCTCGGTGGAGGTTCTGATGTGTTTTCTTCCTTCTTCTCTGGTTCTTCACTTAGTTTTGATTTAGAACGTCTCTCGTAGGATTCTCTTCTTCTGAAATTAATTCTTATTTTAAATAAGTACTTGGCTGGCAAATCATGACTTAAGTAGAAACCAAGGGGTGGTTAACTGCATTGATTTTGAGGATTTTGAAAATCTTCATAGGATTTTACAGGATTTTAAAAGATTTTAGGTGATTTTGGAGCATTCATTTTAGGGAAGGTAGAAAGGTTTTTAGAGATGCTAAAAGAATTTTTAGAGATTTTAACATATTTTTGGGGATCCCAAAGGATTTTTGGAAACTAAAGGAATTTTATAGGATTTTGCAGGATTTTTTTTGTTCTAATAAAATTTTGTTAGATTTTTAAAGATTTTCTGGAATTTTAAGTATATCATGTTTTTCTGGGATTTTGACCAACTTGTATATAAATTTTCATCAATTAACCGCTCGAAGTTTAGTTAACTTCACAAAATGTGTAGATAATTAAATCTTTATTGATTTTGTAGGATTTTGAAAAACTTCACGTGATTTTACAGAATTTTAAAAGATTTTAGATTTATGAGATTTTAGGTGATTTTGGATCATTTTAGGAAATTAACAAAGGGTTTTTATGGCGTTTTAACCAACTAATTTAGGGGAGCCTCAACGATAAGTATTTTTTAAACTGACATTTCTCCATAAAAGACTGTCATTTCAAGGAATACTTATTGTTGAAGCTCCCCTAAAATAGTTGGTGGAAACGGCCATTAGAGATCCTAAAGGATGTTTAGATATTTTAACGGATTTTTGAGGATTCCAAAGGATTTTTGGAAATTATGAAGGAATTTTTTTTTACGAATACATATTAATGATTTTATAAGATTTTGCCAGATTTTTTTTGTTCTTATAAAATGTGTATAATTTTGTAAAATTTTATGTGATTTCAAGTGATTTTTAAGGGATTTACGAGGGGATTTTGTGAGGTTTTGTTAAATTTTAAAATATTTTCAGGGATTTTAAATATATCCCACAAGTTTTTCTGGACTTGTACACTTTGACCAATCAAAACACTTTGACCAAATCAAATAATGAACACATTTTAATTCTTAATTGGTTTTGTAGGATTTCGGAAATTTTGAAAATCTTTACACGATTTTACAGGAGTTCAGAAGATTTTAGATTTTCAAAATTTTAGGTGATTCTTCTGAAGCATTTTAAGGGTTTTTGCTCGGGTTTTTGAAAAGTTTTTAGAAATCCTAAATTCAAATGACAAATTTGAATGGAAAAACGGAAATTCCTAGACATTTTACTATAGGATTTCATAATACTTTTCCGAATTTCATCATATGATTCTGGAATGGACATGGAATTCCACCATCAAATTCAATGCAATTCTTGGACAAAAATTCCTCGGAATTACACTACTTATGAGATTTCATGAAATTCTTCGGCATTCCACTAAAATTTCAAGTTATTCCATGAGAATTCTGCGAAAATTTTTGTTAATTCCATAGAAATTCCTCAGAATTTCACTAGAAGATTTTATGGAATTCCTCGAAATTCCATTCAAATGACAAATTTGAATAGAAAAACAGTAAGTCCCAGAAATTTTACCATAAGATTTCATAATACTTTTCCGAATTTCACGATAAGATTCCATGATAAAATTCAATGGAATTCTTGTACAAAAATTTCTCGGAATTACAGTAAAAGATTTCATGAAATATCTCGGAATTCCACTATAATTTTATGTAATTCGACAGAAATTACTCAGAATTTCACTAAAATTTAATTCAATTCTTCAAAATTCCGCCGAAATTTTTGGTGGTTCCATGGAAATTCCACGGAAATTCTGTTTAATTCCAAGGGAATTCTGCGGATTCAATGTAATTTCATTAGAATTCCACAATAAGATTTCAAGGAATTCTATGTATGTAATTCGACGAGAATTCCTTGGAATTTTACTCAAAATTTCATCCAAATTTTATGTAAGTCGACACAACGTGAAATTATATATAATTTGATGGAAATTCTGTGAATATTTCATAATTTTTTTTTTTCGAAACACCACTGAAATTCTCCAAAATTCTATAGAAATTCCAAATTCCATAATTTTTTAAAAACTTTACTGAAATTCCCCAAAACTTCACCACTGAAATATCCTGGAATTTCACAAAATGTTAATAAAATATTTCGGAATTTCACTGAAATTTCCTGGAATTTCTTGGAAATTTCTCGGAATTTCACTAAAATTTTATGAGAATTTTTCGGAATTTCACTGAAATTTTCTTTCAATAGTCAGGAATTTCTGGGAATATTAATGAAACTTCAAGTAATTTCTTGAAAATTCACCGAAATATATTGAAATTACATGGGAATTTTTCGGAATATCACCGAAATTCCATGTTTTTAGCCGGAAATTCCTCGGCATTTTTCTGAAATTTTACTAAAATTCAGTAAGAACTGAAATTTCATGTTGGGAATTTCGGTGTAATTTTATATAATTCCTCCATGTAATTCATTTAGGATTTCGTGTAATTCGAGAGGATATAAAATTTAATGTGAATTCTATGGAAACTCCGCAAAAATTTCACATAATTCCTTTTTCAGAATAACATAATTATTTTACCGAAATTCCTCGAAATTTCACTAAATTATGGAATTCTGAGAGACTTTGACAGATTTTTGGGGATTCCAAAGGATTTTTGGGAATTTCAAAGGAAATATTTTTCAGGAATGTTAATGATTTTATGAGATTTTGCAAAATTTTTTTGGTTTTAATGAAATTTTGTTAGATTTTGTAGGATTTTATGCAATTTCAAGAGATTTTGTGGGATTTTGTTAAATTTTTAAGGATTTCAAAGATTTTTAGGGATTTTGAGTAGATCTTATGAGATTTTCTGGGATTTCGACCAACTTGTACACGGATTTTGACCAGTTAACTACCCCTCGGTAGAAACATTCCCATGTTTTGTTCTTGTTATTGGTTTTAGACAGTAGACAATATAGACAATGATTATGACTGATTTTATCCACTGGATTAAATGTTGAAAGTTCGACTTGTTCAATATTTATTCTTTGTCCCTTCTTCTGTATCAGAGAATGGTGAGATAGTCCCCACATTCGTTATTTTATATATTTTATTTAGGTGATTATTAGGAATATGAAAAAACAGCTTCTCAATTGTGTTTTCTGTTAATATTTGGTATCTCAACTGAAGCAAAGCCAATCTTCTCTTTGAATACAAAAAAACACCCAATCACAGTTAAATTTGTTACCTTATATCCTGATTCTTCTTCCTCTGCAGTTCTTCCTCTTCTTGTTTTGCCTTTGTTTCCTCTAACTGCTTTTTTGGGTCAACTGCTTCACTTTCCACAGTTTCCACAGACTTTCTCGTACGATTGGAAGTCCTTTTAGGTTGATTCTCCAACAAGCGTCTTCGGGCTTGCCGCTCTTTCTCTTTAAATAACCGCGGCAGTTCTGGAAGGAAATTTTTGCTCAGTGTACTGTGTAGCGCCCTTTCGTTTTTCGCCGTTGAACTTTTAAACTTTCTGGTTAACTGAAACCAATCGTCTTCGGTGAAACAAATCACCTGCCAAACCTCGTTGGTTTTGTTATTTTTCTTTTCGAAATCCTCCCTGTATAATCGGGTACCATAAAAGTACCAATAAGCAGATTCGTTATTGTCGTACCCCAATGGTTCCACTCGTAAACTATCAGCTTCTAAGTTCTTTAACTGATCGAGCACATCTTCTGCGTCTAATCTGAAATCACACAGAGCGTGTAAAATGTCAACCTTAGTCCTCAACGGTAATAAGGTAAAGTCGCAATCAGTGTTAAACGGATTAAAACGATCATGCTCCTGACATTTTTGCCGAAACAATCGTCTCAAGAACATCTGATAGTTGAATGTGGAGATTTCATTGTTGGGCAGACAACCACTTAGAAGTCGTACAATTAATTCTTGGAGCCAGGAAGTCTCTTCTGTGCCATCAGTTAAAAGAGCTTCTTCCAAGTCCTAATAAATATACACCGACTTAGTTAATTGAATGGGATAATTTATTTGGGTACCACTTACCTCGATGTCAAAATCTAGTAGATTAAATGCTGTTCGGAAAAGAGAGCAAAAGTGAGCTATGCTGGGTACCTCCCACCACGACTGAATATCTGGAATAATACAAAGTAATTACAATTCCTGGTTACATCTATAACAGACAGAAAGATCAGGGATATATAGTAATTTCAACAAGTACAATTGACAAAATAATGAGCAATGTTCATATCATATCAGGATTGGCTCAAAAACACTTCTAACAGCTTCCTCTGAGTATGCAACAGCTAAAGAACTATTATGGAACAATTAGGGAGCATATTGGATGAATAATCTGAAGGAGTGTCTAGGAAACCAGTCACTAATCCTAAAAGCTCACTCGCCTTCACTTTTAAGGGAGTCATGTGCAAATAAAACAGTGAAAATACTGCCATCATCTAATTCACCTCAACATTCAACTTAATTTTCATTAATTTTTAATAAGACACTTAGGACTCTCATTAAGTTAACTGAACTCAATGCAAATTGGTTTTATACTAATTAAAGTAATTAGGTGGATTTGTTTTTTATTTGTTTCTGAAACATGCAGAGAAAGTTTTAATTTATTTATTTCCTACTGAACTATTATAACCATATAATACCTTGGTTACGATAATCATAAACAGGGTCTTAACTCCCAAGGGAGTTAAGGATATCACAACTCCCAAGGGAGTTAAGGATTTCCATAACTCCCGCTTTTATCTTGAATAGGTGAAATTTTGACAAAAAATAGAAATTTTGGTTTATGGTTTATGCCTTTATACAAATGGACAAAATACAGTAAATTCAGTAGGAAATAAAATTATCTATGTACCACGGGAATTATCAGGTGTTAATACCCACGGGCAATTGGTGTTCCTCGGGCCGAAGGCCCTCGGGACACAAACTTTGCCCTGGGGTATTAACACCCTCATAATTCCCTTGATACATAAATAACTATTATATCCTACTGAACTATTAAAACCATATAATACCTTGGTTACGATAATCATAAACAGGGTCTTAACTCCCAAGGGAGTTAAGGATTTTCATAACTCCCAAGGGAGTTAAGGAAGGGAGTTAAGGATATCATAACTCCCAAGGGAGTTAAGGATTTCCATAACTCCCGCTTTTACCTTGAATAGGTAACACTTTGACAAAAAATAGAAATTTTGATGTATGGCTTATTCCTTTATAAAAATAAACAGAATACAGTAAATTCAGTAGGATATAAAATTATCTATGTACCACGGGAATTATCAGGAGTTAATACCCACGGGCAATTGGTGTCCCTCGGGCCGGAGGCCCTCGGGACACAAACGTTGCCCTGGGGTATTAACACCTGCATAATTCCCTTGATACACAAATAACTATTTCAATTCCTCAATATTAAAAAAAATAATAATAAAAAACAGTTAAGTATGTGCTAATATTTTTTCCTATTTGCTAGAGCTGCCCTCCAGGATGATAATAGATAGCCATTGCATCAAATTTCGCCAAACTTGATTATAGACTTGACTAACAAGTTAATGTCTGCAATTGATTAGTTTTCAAGAGAGAAGGCAAAAGGGTGATGTAACGCCGCAATAATTAAAAAAATATTACAAAGGGGTTAAATTCGTATTAAATTAAATGGCCCTTTTTATGGATAAGAAAGTTTAACGAGACCTATAATAAAATATTGAGTAAAATATTAAGAAGTACCATAAATACTTACCTCTATTAGATATATATTTTTTACTTATTTGATTATAATTTCTTGATTTTTTTTGGTACATGTAATACCGAGGCTTGGAAATTAGGTACCCCAATGACATATTCGGTAGGGGATGAAATGTTGAAAGTATTACAAAACTGTGGTTTTCAAGTGTGAGCTTAATGAAGCGTTCTACAATATTTCCTTAAAATGATTTTTAAATCGGTAGAGCATAAGGGTTGAAAATATAAGAAAATTCAACAAAAGTAAGTTTTTTTTCCTTGTTCTTGATTTAAATGGGATACTACTGCCCTATTTCAGCAGGGACTAGCGACTCAATCAAGTATTTTAGAATAATCCTTTGGTTGCTGGTTTAGCAAATGGTATTTTATCCAGTGGTACCTCTGTATTTTATTAGTAGATATTGGAATTTTCAATAGTCTGTTCACGTTAAGAAATAAATGTTTTCATAAACTGCCGTTGGGTAATTGGAATGTCTGAATTCGCTGGAATTATTTCTTTCTGGATTCCCTCTATCAGCAAAGAAAATTCTGGCAGGGCAGGCGACTTGAATATTGATATTTTTAGCTAGCTTTACTGACATGTTATAACGAACCAACACGTATAACTTAATCACTCCGCCACAGCAATCGATTATATCTGTAGTAATATGTAATATTGAAAAAAACGATCTCAGTTATAAAGTAGTATCCTCGGGTATTTCTGATAGCGAGGGCCGAGGCGAGGGCTTAATAGTAACAGTAACAATAATGTTATACCAAAGAGACAAAAGAAACAATAATTTTTCGTAGGGCAAACATTTCAGATCTTTTAATAAAGCCAGAATTAAAAAAAATTGTCGTAATTACACATTTTCATTTTAATAATATAAAAATGCTTATTATTTCTTCTTCTCGAGTTTCTTCTTCATTCAAATTTACATTGAAATGTGTACCTAATAATTTATATTTTTTGTTTTAGTAGGTGTTTTGCTTTATTGATTATACCTACATTATAATTCACGACAATAAAGCTTTTTTGAATTTGAATCTAATTCATTGTATCAAAGCTACAGAAACTTTATCTGCTAATGCTCTGGAATTTTCTAAATTACTTTTTGATTGATAAAATCCACACGTCAACTTAGCATTATCTATTCAAAAACATACATAATAATAGGTTCAAATTTCTTTGTTCCACAACTACATGGCTACTATAAAAGATGAGATTTCGTTTTGATCAATTAGATGCAGCCGTCATTACCTACTATCCTACCATATTTACATTAGAAATTGGAGCTACACATTTTTGCACAAGGAATACTTGATGAAGTGCTTTTCGCTTTTGTATGCAAGTACCTATGTAAGTTTTAGTTTTGAGCGTGGTTTTGAAATACCCAAAGTGCACCAAGATTCAAAAACAAGGTTTTTTTTTCACCAAAACATTTTATTTTATTAAATCACAAAAATATAATATACATATAATGTATTTAAATAAATAATAACTTGATTATAGACCTATCTATTTTACCAGACAAAGAGGTAATAATACGAAAATTTCATTAGATAAAAAAAGACACAAAACGCTCATTGCGCAAGACGAGGCAAAACGTACCAAATTATGTTAGACTTACGTATAGCAATGCATCCTTCTTATTTGCACGGGCTAAAAAGGGAAAGAGGAAGACCGCGCGTTGTGGAACGTATTTGTCAAAAAAATTTTTGAATGCCACTTGTCAAGCTATGCCAAGTTGAATATTAACCGTAATTTTATTCTTGTCAGACCACGGGCAATGAACAAGGACAAGGATATGCCGGGCATGCAAAACGAACACCTCACACCTGTACTAGTTAGCCAATAAAAAGGCATTGCCTCGTGTTGCGCGCGCATAACAGGTAAAAATAGATAGGTCTATTGAATCATAAATTTTATGCCTGTTTGCATACATTTTTAATAGTATATTATGATATAAGAGGTGTATAAGAGGGCCTTTAAAGCACGCGTGACATATTTCAAAACACGACGCGCAGCGGAGTGTTTTGTAAGTCGCAAGGGCTTTAAAGGCCTCTTATACACGCATATCATACGCTATTTTATATTACAAATGCATCATATTCTCAAAAATGTTTTAAATGTGTTCATTCATTTTGATGAATAGTAATTTAAACGGCAGGTGTATATCTAGGTAATGAAGGTAGATCAAACGCTTCTATAGCAAAACTTTGAAAAGGTAGGCGCATCATAAACATCATTTTATGCACGCTGCAGTGTGCGATAATCGTTGATTATGATGCATGCGTAATATAAACACCTTTTTTTTTTTATTGATAACCTATTTCACTTATTTAAAGTACTCCTCAGCGTGTTTAAATCCAACATTCAAAAACGCGCGTGTTTTAAAGTTACCAATGACAACATCAACAACCAACAACCCGAGAAAGGTCTAAATGTCAATTATTGATTTGTCAGGAGTAGGTACTTGTAGATAACGTCAAATAAAAGGTCTGTTTGTTATCCTCCACTAGTGCACAATAATTTACACTTTTCGGCACTGAGGCGTTTGTTATGCGGTTAGTGCAAATAGTGTAAGGCGTTTGTTATCTCAGTGTAGGGTGCCCAATCATGCACTACCTACACCTGCTCAAGAGGAGGTGTAACAAGTGCAGAATGGGGAGGAGGCAATGTTGTTGTTTTGTTTTGTTTGTTGCTCCCAACCTGAAACCTTAAAATAAGATTTATTATATGGCGATTTCGACTGGATTGCACTTTCGCACCCAGTGCGAACTTTTTTTAAAAATTGACAGATAAACAATACTTTACACGTCAATTGCCAAAAAAAGTTAGCACTGGGTGCGAAAGTGCAATCCAGTCGAAATCGCCATTAGAAATTAAATCTTAAATGTTAGATGAAATATATTGATATGCTCTAAAAAATGAGTAGTGAAAGTACAAATACAAAAGTGCAATTGCATGAATTTATTTTGTCGTCAGAGCTGGAAGATAGGGAATCTGAGGAATCTTCTTCATCTTCCGACTTTATCTATAATTTCCGACAATAAAACCTTGTAAATATGTTATTTTTTTCGTTAATATTGGACATTTTTTTCTGGGTTAGTTTCCATTTTCCACTTTAATTTACCCTAATAATAATTTTTTTGAGGTTAGATATCCGCTTCTATCGCTTCACGAACTGCACTGTCTGCACTAACGCGTTTGGTAGTTTTCCTTTACCCTGGTGGCCATGAACTACACCAGCAGCCTGCACTGACCTACCCTACACGGATATAACAAACACACCTAAAATGAAACAAGTGTCTAGCACAAATTTAGCATTCTACAATTATTATTAGTAATTTATGATTTGAACGTATACCAATAAAAAAAATAGTGTAAAGTATTCGT